ATATTACATCTGCTCCAGCTTTCTGATACCCTCATCAATTTATCACGATCTGTTCCAAGACAACTTTGTTGTCCGTAGCCCAGAAAATCTCTTCCTTCAGGAAGCCACTGGAGCCAACTGCAGCCCTTGGTTATTTCTTACTTAATAGTGTTGCATGGATTGTATATCATATTCATTCTCACGTGTTGATATGCTACTTTTGGATTTCTTTTTTTCTCATTTTGTATATTTTTGTTTTTATCCTTCCAGCTATATTGTAAGATGATCTTAAAATATTCTCTTTTATACAAAAGGTATAAATTTCCATGATAGTGCTTTTGGGAAATAAATAATCTATAATTCTACATTATAGCAACTTTTTTGTTTTTGAGACAGAGTCTCTGTTGCCAGGCGCCAGGCTGGAGGGCAGTGGCACAATCTTGGCTCAGTGCAACCTCTGCCTCCTGGGTTCAAGCAATTCTTCTGCCTCAGCCTCCCAAGTAGCTGGGAGTACAGGCGTGCGCCACCATGCCCAGCTAATTTTTTTGTATTTTTAATAGAGACAGGGTTTCACCATGTTGGCCAGGATGGTCTCGATCTCTTGACCTTGCGATCTGCCTGCCTCAGCCTCCCAAACTGCTGGGATTACAAGTTTGAGACACCGTGCCCAACCTATAACAACTTTTTTATATTTAATTTTAGTCATTATTTTTCCACATGCCTATGCATTGTGTTTTACATAATGACACTCCTGATGTTTCCAATTGTTCATCCAGATTGTTATTTGGTTCATAAATCTGTCTTGCAACATTTTTTTCTTCCTTAGTATATATTACAGTGCACTGTATACAACAGGGACTCTGTAACTGCTTGGGAATTGATTTGGTGAGAGAGAAACTTGCAAAAGATTACTCAGATGTTTCAGTCAGGTCAAAGATGGTCAAAGAGTAAATGTGCTGTGAGGAGATGACTTTTTGCTAATGGGGAGATTTTGGCTTTAGTAGAATAAAATGTTTGAAAGATTTAATTGAGCCAGTTGTCATCACTATGTTATGATGACCCTGTAGGGTGAGCTTGTATTTTTAACTTCCTGTCCCTATTGGGACTATTTGGACAGCTGGGGGTGTATCAGATAAAGTTAGTACACAATTTGGTTTGATCTGATTCTTATTCAGCTGTCAAAGCATGATTATGACCTCCTTTCAGAGTATAACGTAAAATACTTTTCTGGACTTTGATTAATTTTTTTAAGTGAAGAGAGTCCTAACAGGTCACATGTTTCATCTCTATCCAAGAAGCTTTCCAGTCAAGATTCCAAGTTATTTTGTAAGTTTGTATTGCTTGCATTCTTTCTTGGCATAATAACCTCATTGTATATAACTACAGCCCACCATTAATCTGAGTGTATTAGACTTTCAAACATTCATTCCTCCAGACTATAAGCTGGATTTACACTTTGCTGGATGACATTTAAGTAGTTTGCTTAGATGTAACATATTCCCAGCACAGCATGAAAATGCATTTACTAAGGGCTTTGTGTCTGTGGTTTAGATGAAAATAGAGTAAAGCTTCCTCCCTCTTGAGATGTTTAGATAAGGTTTAATTGATTTTGAAAATACATTAGCATGACCACAACACTTTAAAACAAGTGAACTTTTTTTTTTTTAAATAAAGCAGGTTGCATTGGGGTTTGACTTAAAAGCTTTGAAATAGTGAAATACCAAAGAGCTTTTTTTTTCTTTTTAAATGTAGAGAAAGTACAGCACACCCCCCCCAAATGTTTGTAATTTATGTTTATTCCTCTAAAATTTGAATAGAAATAAACTTGCTTCTGGAAAGAAGGCTTTTATCATGAGAGACTTGAAGTTACGAGCTTTTTCACAGGACAGTGTTGGAAACATATGTCCTTGTTGTCAGACTAATGCACCTTTATTGACTTAAAGCTTAGAAGGAAATCAATATATTTTTGGAGACACATAGGAGATTGCAGGACTTCCATTTATGAATACGATGAATTGAAATGGTCTTAGACTGTCTACGCTTATGTGATGTTGAACATACTGCTCTGCTCAATCAAGTAATGCTGCTCCCCTGGACTCTTGCTGAAGCACTTGACTTCAAACTGTGTGCTAACCAACTCCTGCTTAAAACCCTACTGTGAGCAGTGCCCTGTAGGTAAAACAGTCTATGAAACATGGTATCCACTCACTTCTCTGGGTAATCATCTCTGTCTTGAGTTGAAAAGAGCACTAGACAGTTACATAATTATTTTATTATAAGTTATCTTCGGAACAATCACCTTTATAGAATTAAATTTAAATGTTATATCTTTGGTTTTGTTTGTATCTGTTAATTTTGGTCAAAGACATGCTGTCCATCATTCTGTGTATACAGTGTCATTTGATAAATCTATTTTGAATTTATAACCAGGGGAGAAGTGTATGTGCCCATTTTTCTCTCTAGCTCTCTTTCTGACTTTCTATATCTGTTTCTTTTTCTCTCTTAAAATTGGTTTGCTTTTTTCAAACAAATAGCTTGAAATATTCAACATATTCATTTTCTTGCCACTGAGGAAATACAGGGTAAAATTGAATAGGCAATCACAAGAGTTATAGCAAACCTCATTCTTAGCATTTTTGCTTTCTTCTGCTCTTCTTATATCTTTGATATGTTATTTTTTTTAGAACTTTGTTATAGACATGAATTTTATTTTAAGGTGACTTAGATCCCTTTCCAGAAGCAGAAAGTAATAAGCAAACTGTTAAGGGTAGGCTAGAATGAGCTGATCAGAGGCCGGAAGACACTGAGATTGTAAAGTATAGAACATAAAAGAAAAATGGTATTTTTGATTGTCATTTTACTGCCAAGGTGACTGATTGTGTTTCCAGTCAACAAATGGTTATAAGTCACTAGCAATACTTAACAAGTCTTGGTTATACCATATAATATACTTTTGCATAGACACTATCAATTGAGAGAAATAGTGGATATGAATAATTACATATGGATTTAAAAAGTCCATATATAGAATTCCATTATAAAAAATTGTGAAAGAAATATATAGAACTAAATATTTGGGTTAAAACAAACAAATAAAAAACACACACAATGAATTGCTGTATTATTTGCTTCTCTGGTAAATTTTCAGTAATGGCTTTTATATGAACCAACATTTGCTCAAAGGATATGGAAACTTGGCATCCTTGGTCATCTGAAAAATATCAGAAATGAAGCTAAAGTAAGTTTAATGAAACTAGAGGAAGATATTATTTATTTAAAATATATTTACATACAACATTTTTAAATTACTTTTTTTTTTATAGCCTTTTTTAAATTTTTTATTGGATTATAGGTTTTGGGGTACATGAGCAGAGCATGCAAGACAGTTGCGTAGGTACACACATGGCAGTGTGCTTTGCTTTTCTTCTCCCCTTCACCCACATTTGGCATTTCTCCCCAGGCTATCCCTCCCCATCTCCCCCTCCCACTGGCCCTCCCCTTTTCCCCCCAATGGACCCCAGTGTTTAGTACTCCCCTTTCTGTGTCCATGTGTTCTCATTTTTCATCACCCACCTATGAGTGAGAATATGCGGTGTTTCATTTTCTGTTCTTGTGTCAGTTTGCTGAGGATGATGTTTTCCAGATTCATCCATGTCCCTACAAACGACACGAACTCATCATTTCTGATTGCTGCATAATATTCCATGGTGTATATGTGCCACATTTTTCCAATCCAGTCTATTATCAATGGGCATTTGGGTTGATTCCAGGTCTTTGCTATTGTAAACAGTGCTGCAATGAACATTCGTGTACATGTGTCCTTAGAGTAGAACGATTTATAGTCTTTTGGATATATACCCAGTAATGGGATTGCTGGGTCAAATGGGATTTCTATTTCTAAGGCCTTGAGGAATTGCCACACTGTCTTCCACAATGGTTGAACTAATTTACACTCCCACCAACAGTGTAAAAGTGTTCCTTTTTCTCTACATCCTCTCCAGCATCTGTTGTCTCCAGATTTTTTAATGATCGCCATTCTAACTGGCGTGAGATGGTATCTCAATGTGGTTTTGATTTGCATCTCTCTGATGACCAGTGACGATGAGCATTTTTTCATATGATTGTTGGCCTCATATATGTCTTCTTTCGTAAAGTATCTGTTCATATCCTTTGCCCACTTTTGAATGGGCTTGTTTGTTTTTTTCCTGTAAATCTGCTTGAGTACAATTTTTTTTCTTATATAGGGTCCTACATAATCTCTTGAGATAATGCAGATACTAAGATATGATGAACTTGAAAATGAGAAACATAGAGCTCTCAGGCTCGAATTGGCTGAAATTGGCTGAAATGTTATTTTCTTGAATTGGCTCAGATTGACTTGAGGTGCCCTTTAGTCTTCCATTCCTGCCAAATTTTTGAGCACATAACCAGAATGACCATGTACAGACATTGCTTCACACAAGCACAGCTGATAGCAAGTGATCGTGAAGCAATCTTTCCCCCTCTTTCTCTTTCCATTGAAATTACTCTTTAGAGTTATTTCCCTTCCTGGATGAAAAGTGTGGCAGTTTGTGGTCACTTTTATGGAACAGTTTTTCTGTCATTGAAACTCATAAGACATGGACTCAGTATTTCAAGGTTCAATCTCACATAATATTCAAAACTTCAATTTTACTTTAATGTTAAAGTTCTCTTTTTTTCTCTTCTTCTCTATCTCAATGGCTGGTTTCTACTTCTCAGAGATCAGAATGGGGGAGAAAGAAGAGGAAGGGGCAGGAAAGTTCCATCTGGTATGGCTGTGGTCTAGCTCCAGTGTTTTCTAGGCTTGCAGGTGGTGAGAGCTCGCTTTTTCTCTTGTGGGAGGCTTTCACATGGGTTCTTCAGAGACTCTCATCACTGGAGATCTTTCAGTTGAAGCTCTCTGGAAATGACAAATGCATCCCTATTTCTCTTGGTTGCTTGATTCTTAACCCCATTTCATTAAACAATACCCAATTCATTCTCTTTTTTCTCTTCTGCAGGATGTACTTACATCCCAACAAACTGAAAATGCTGACCAACTGCAGCACAGCCAACTCGAATTTGCTCTTTCGTCAAAGTGACCAGCACCTCATTTCTTCGTCTTTAGAATTTGTAGGTAAGAGTCAGCAGTCCAGTAGGACTTCGTAAATACAGGGCACACAGATAAAGCTCTTGTTGGGGGCCACATTATCTAGTGAGAGAGGACATACTACATTATCTTAAAGCTTTAGGGTAAATCATTCATTTCATTTGTCTTTTTATTGGGTGAACGAGAAGACTACTGGAACAGTTGTAGTTACTGAGTCTTCTGGAATCATAGTGTAAGTTAGTGAAAGTTTATACAACTGTGATTGCAGAGCAAAAACATAAATGGTGTCAAACCATGCAATATAACATAAATGTTCAGATGAAAAACATCAAGTAGTAGAGAGAGAGAAGAGAGGTGATGAAATATAGGAACTCTAAACCATGTATTGTATAAAGCAAGAAATCCGGAGAAAATTTCTAGTTGTTTAAACAAAAAATAAATATTAAAATATGTGATTTAAGGTCCCAAAGTAACAGAGAGATAAATTGTGATAGTAATTTAGTAGAAGGAATAGAGGAGGGATTTTTAGTGCTATGTAGTTGAATCCTATCTAGTTTAAAGTAGATAATGTTTGAAATTGATAATTTTTAAAATATATTAGCATATGCATATTATTATTTATTTATTTATATTTTTTATGCTTTATTGCATTTTAGATTTTGGGGGTACATGTGAAGGACATGCAAGATTGTTGCATAGGTACACACATGGCAGTGTGATCTGCTGCCTTCCTCCCCATCACCTATATCTGGCATTTCTCCCCATGCTATCTCTCCCCACCTCCCCACCCCCCACTGTCCCTCCCCTATTTCCCCCCTACAGACCCCAGTGTGTGATGCTCCCCTCCCTGTGTCCATGTGTTCTCATTGTTCAACACCTGCCTATGAGTGAGAACATGCAGTGTTTGATTTTCTGTTCTTGTGTCAGTTTGCTGAGAATGATGGTTTCCAGGTTCATCCATGTTCCTACAAAGGCCACGAACTCATTGTTTTTATTGGCTGCATAGTATTCCATGGTGTATATGTGCCACATATTATTTAGTGTCTCGAACAGAGAACAGGAGTGAGAAAGGTGAATTGAGAGAGGACTGCATTTCATTAGGGTCCCCCTATTTTCCTCATTCTTTTCTTTTTTTAAAATAATATGTGTACAAATTCCTCTAAATTTGAAATCTTTGTCATTAAAATATATTTTTAAAATTACATATAAAATACAAAGATGAGAATATAAATGGAATTATGTTGAAAAGTATAAAGATAAAAATATAACATTATTCAATATGAAAAAGGTAAGGAGGCAAATTATTGCTACAAAATATTAAAATAGTATAAAGTTATATTATTCAATATGACACAAACATTGGCATCTTCAGAAAGCTCAAAGAAACAGAAAAATACCAGAAGGACATTTTAGTATGTATATAAACTAAATATATGAAAATAATCATAATTTTTATATATTTAGTTTATATACGTACTAAAATGTAATATACATAATCATTTTCATATATTTAGTTTATATATGTATATGACCTACACCCACTTATTAAATCACCTTTCTCTTTGGGGTTATTTAGGGTTATTGGGGAAGAGAAATGTTACTTAGTAAGTTGGTTTAGGTCATTTTTAAACAAACATGTTGCCTACAACTGTGTCCCATTTTAAAATAAATTCCAGATCATTATAAACTTACAAATATTTAAGCCGTGAAATGCCTAGAAGGAAGCTCTGAGTGTTTATCTGAGCTGTACATTAGGTAAGACCTCCTGTACTTCAACCAAATAAAAGAATTAGCAAAAGAAAGGACAGAGATACAACAAATTTCAAGGGTTTAAACTGTGTACATTAAACTAAAAGATGGCAAAGAAAAATAATTACAACAAATATGAAACTGCTTAATAATATTAACTTATAAAGAATAATTAAATTAATTTTTATTTTGTCATGGGCAGTGCTAGAGTTCCAGCATCAAGCATGACAGACATGGTCTTAAAAATAAACCCTGAGACTCCAATAGACAAATGGGCAAAGATCATGCATGCTTACTTCACCAACGAGATGTTGCAAATAAGTCATAACCATTGGAACAATATTTGGCTTATTACATGACCAAAGCCTTTAAATAAAAATAAGATTTTAATTATATTAATTAAATATAAAAAGCTGTTTTAAAACGGAATACCCAGTGTTGGTAAGTATCATGAATTTCAGCTCCAGAGACAGCTGAAAAGTATAATGTTTTAATCTTTCGAGAAAGTAATTCAGGGATATGAGTAAAGAGTTTTAAAGATCCTCATATTTTGAGGGCCAGAAATTCTATGTCTAGAGTATTTGTAAGGTAATTCAGATTAGTGAAAAAAATCGAGACTTTCTAAGTGCTCAGCCATAAGCAATTGTCTAGGTAAAGTAAGAAATCATATATTTTATATAATTGCAGGCATTAAATATGACATTCACACGGAGTTGTAAAGTATATGGAAAATGCTTATGATAAACTTTTAAAGCAGAACCCAAAATGATATCAAGTAAGCAAAGCAATATGTAGAAAATGCAAGAAATTATGCAAACACTTTAATAATTTTTCTAGGAGTTGGGAGTATTATTTTTTTATTTTTATTTTTATTTTTTTGAGACAGTTTCACTCTTGTTACCCAGGCTGGAGTGCAATGGATGACTTCAGCTCAACGCAACCTCCGCCTCCTGGGTTCAGGCAATTCTCCTGCCTCAGCCTCCTGAGTAGCTGGGATTACAGGCACACGCCACCGTGCCAAGCTAATTCTTTTTGCATTTTTAGTAGAGACGGGGTTTCACCATGTTGACCAGAATGGTCTCGATCTCTTGACCTCGTGATCCACCCGCCTTGGCCTCCCAAAGTGCTGGGATTACAGGCTTGAGCCACCTCGCCTGGCCGGGAGTATTATTTTTAAGTAATTTGAATATTTTTTCTACTTGTACTTTCTCCAAAATAAATTTGTATTATTTTCACATTGAGAAAAAAACACAGATAGACACTAAGCAGCTAGTTTAAATTCTCAGTTTGTTACTTGTGGGCACTTGGGCAAGTAACCCCTTTTGTGAGGGGTACTCACCTGGTTTTGTTGGAACTCCACCTAAGTTACAAAAATGAATTTTGTTTTGCTAACTTCTGGTTACACAGTCCAGTACATCTCTCTGTTTCTTGTCTTCATTTCTGCTACTGAATTACATTAATAGCCCTTAAAAATATTTCTCCCATTTAGGGAAAAATTATGCCCAAGTCGAGTAAACAAGTTGATTTTGTCCATCTGAGTTTGTGCCCATCATCTTCAGACATGGAGTTATGAGCTGAGTTTACAATGTAAACACTTTAGCCTTTAACCTCTCATTGGTCTATATTCCTCACCTTTTTAAAGAATGTGGCCTTTTGACTTCCACTGTGCACCAATAAAGTTAAATTAGACAGAAATAGGACAATCCCCTTTGGAAGAACCCCCAGTCTTTCTGTACTTGAAAAATAATTGTTTTCTCCCCTTGATTTCTTCTTTGGATGGCCTTTGACTTGCCTCTCTTGAAGCAGCCAATGTTTGCACAAGGCAAGCTCTGTACCAACTGTCATTCTTTATGCATCCCTTCATAAACCTGGGGCCAATGGGAAATGGAGTAGAGGAGTAATAAGGAAAAAGTAGAGGAATAAGTCAGCTTGGGACCGGATAGGCTGCTAGCAAAAATGATATTGGCTTTCAAGCTTGAAGAGGTTTGTTCTTGAGAAAATGTATTTAAAACGGCTCTCTAATACTCAGGTACCCAATAAGTCATTGACTCTTTCCAGTTGGGAACATAATGTGATAATAAATTAGTCCATTAAGTCAGGGTTTTGTCTTTTGCACAATTCATATTTTAAACTTTAAAGAGGCTCACAACTGAGCTTTCACAAACAGTAGCTGTTTACTTTCTTTCCACTAAAATAATCATTGCAAATACCCCTCTGAGAATGTATATTTTCAGGTGCCAGGTAATCAAAGCTTAGTTGTACTCAGAGGCTTTTTTAGAAACAAAATGGAAAATAATTGCTTTAAAGTACCCACTTGTGAGGATTTCTGCTCATCAGTATAATTGCCAGCATCCACTGTCTTTCTACTACAATAAATTCACAATGATTCATTAGCTTCTATTAGGCGGGATGAAATAGATCATCTTGTTAACATTAACTTTGATTTTTAAATGGCTTTACTTGATTTCACATAGGAATTACAGTTTGCACATAAACAGAAATAATAAATGCCCCCTGCCCCACTTTAAAGAGTAGTGTAGGTAGTATAAGAGAATAAAATTAGAACTCAGCCAGCCTTGCAGGATTTAGATATGAGCTCTCAGTGTGGGTATTTACTCTAGGAGTATTTTTATATCTTCTCTTTTGTCAAAGGAATTTAATTTCTTGACAATAAATCTTTGCACACAGTACCCAGCAGTTGGCAAATAATCCTTAGGATGTGGTACCAAGTACCTTTGTCCAGCCATTTCTTTAGCATCAAATGAACAGGATGATTACTGCAAAGACTGCTGGGTGAAAATGCTTATCAAAAACTTTATAATCTTATTTAATATATTCCCTAGGTTGATGAGACCATAATTGATGTACCTCAAGACTACTTAGTATATGTAGATATCCGTCAAAGGTTAGCACACCTTTGTTGATTTCACTCTTTAAACGGCTTGGGAAATACATCCTGTCTTTATCTTTGCCATAAAAATGGTCTGTAGTAATGAACTACTTGCATCAATTACCTTGATGGGTTCCCATCAACTCACTGAGGGGTCAACCTTCGGTATTTAAAGTCAATAGAAGTGGGCATCTCAGTCTCCCCCAAGTTGGTGAGCACCCTGAGTGTGTGGGTCATCAAGAGCCCACCTAGCGACTGCCTCTGGGCAGTACTGTCCACATTCCTACTGCGTCTCAGCCTCCTCCACCAGCCAGGCATGCAGTCCTCCAGTGTATATGTCTAGTATAGTTGAAAAAAGAAGTTAAAAACAGTGACTGCCCATACAGTA